GAGTTCAGATGAAAAACACGCACACTCAAGCGGTGAACAAATGTTTGCCTTGTTATTAAAATTAATAAATATATTCTCAAAATGAATATAAATCAAAAAATGCATTCATTTTCCTTACCCTTTATTATAATGAAAATTATTTTCAACATTCACCAAAATTTTAATAAAATTTTTATATTCCAAAAAAAATCACTATTTTTACTATAACCGTTAAAATGCAGTTGCCGCGTTTTGCAATTGGCAATCTTACTCGTGTGATTCATATTTTAAAATCAAAAATTCCAAATCAAAATTTTGTCAGAATTTCCAAATAACTTCCGCTCAATATTTTTTACTTATTTGTGTTAACATTTCTGCAGAAACTTATCGCTTATCAGTTTTAATGAGAAATAAGCAAAAATTATGATGTTTCTTATTTAAGCTAAGTGAAATTTCTTTGAATTGAAAATTGAAAATTGTTGAATGGGTGTAATGGTTGCCCCCCAAATGTAGTATGTTCAGGTTGAGAAACAAATGAGTCGTCTTTAGGGCCAGCATAAAAAAGAATAATTTACATTTTTTAATTAACTGACATTTGAAATGATAAAATTGAGTTTAAAACTTTATACAATTTTATGCGATATTGATCTCATATTTATATAATTGTAAGGCACTATTAAGTTTTTATTGTTTATTTCTACCTTTTTGGCCCACCTTCTTTTCAAACTATCTATAATTCGCTTTGAACTGAAAAAAAACTTGAAAAATATTCACTAAATATAAAACTAGTTAGTCATTTAGCTTTTATTAAGAGAGTATTCTAGTCTAGAGGCAAGGTCAAGGGTCAAAGCAAATCCGCTTGTACACATATTCTTGAATAGTGGAACTTTGAAAAAAACAAGTTTGTTTCTTTTTATTTCTAGACTAGAATAACACCTTAATTTGTTACCATGGATATATTATATAAAGTTTGTTTAGCCGAAACCGGAAAATGCTTACCAGTTCTATAGCCTATCGTTCATGTCGGATATTATTGCCGTGTGCATTACGAATGTATTTCCATCAGTGGTGTGATAGCAACTTGCAACACTTTTTCAACGAATTGAACTGTGTAGATACTAATCGAAAAAAATGCTTTCGTTTCAAAACTTTACTGCCAAAAAATATATATATGTATATTCCAATTAAATAAAGTAAATTATAAATAATCTGTCAGATGTGTTCGGAATTATTGCGAACTTTCTTATACATACTTACTTGTATAAAGGAAGAGATACATAAATTCGATTTTTTTGTTGAGCTGACACGTTTTTATTCGCTTTGATAAAAATGAGCGCTCGCATGCGTGTACATAAAAGCGTCTGTGTATATTTAGTACAGTGTTCTAATATTTTTATGATATGAAAATAAAACTAAACTGTTTTGACATACATACATATTTACATATATAATATTTTTATAGCCACAAAGTAAATACATGCGCATGCTTATATTTAGACCGAATAAAATACAACACATACAGATCATGCATGTATTGTGTGTATGAATGTATACGTGATTGTACAAATTAATACTTGCGGTGTTTGTTGATTTACACACGTACACATATACATACCTATATTCATACACTTATACATATGTACATAGTTTGTTACAATTTCGTCCGACAAAATGCACCTTAATAAACTATTGTGCCAAAGGAAAAATCAACAAACAAAAACCACATACAACTCAATAAAGCAGTGTTGCTTATCTTATCAAAGAAACCGTTTGTTGATTGCGTAAATATTATTCAGCAAATAGAACCCTAAAATATACGCTGAGAACACAACTGCATACCTGCATACATATGTACTCACAAATGTGTGCCTGAAATTGTGTAAAAAGCACATGTGACTGCATATGTATTTGTAAATGTCACATATGTATGTATTAGAGTAGCTCTAATTTATACGAATTTAATTCATTTGCTAAACGTTAATTTCAAGCATTGCTCGTACTTCACCTATGTATGGATGTAGCATGTGCCTGAGATTGGTAAACAAAAAAAGGTAAAAGTGGAACCGTGAAATGCAATTATAAATAATTTTTATTGAAGTAGAAACACAATTTTAAGAGGCTTCACTTCGGGTTAGTTATATAAAAACTATATTTTTGCGTTATAATAGGTTAAGTTAGGTTAGGTCGTTGGGTTGATCCTCGCGCCGAAAGTAGCGCTGTATTTTACTGGGACGGCTGTGAAGGTTGGTTCTTTGTGATATTCAAAAACTCCTAAAAGTGGATTCCCAGATCCACTTAGACTCACGAAACGCTTTGAGCTTATCACAAATTTATGAAGACGGTTAATATCGATCACAACCGCATCGTTAGCTTCTTCGAAGGTGTGCCTGCCGAGATATTTCAATCTCAGTGTGGCAAATGTTGGGCAGTAGACGCAAAAGTAAAAATATGATTCCTCATCGCCTGCCTCCATATAGAAAAATGATTATTAATAGCAGTTCTAAAATAATTTCGCCCAAGTCAGATTTCTACACTACCATATTTGAATATTGATCACTAGTTTCACAGAACACAATTATTCGTTAAGAAAACGAGCAGAATTTACTTTATATAATATAATAAAGCAGTACAATTTTTACACAATAGACTTATGATCGTGGTAAATATCCTCCCCCTTTTATCTATCTATACCGATTTCTAAAGTAATAAATTTGCCCCCTCTTATGTATAAAATTTCCAATTAAATCTACTCGTAAACAAAATTAGCATCAAATCAAAATCATTGCTTCACAATTTCCTTCATTTGCCTGATAATTTAACAGCATGTATCATAAAATGGATAATTAATATATTGCTAAAATTGTGTCTTGGCATAGCTAATACAGAGACCTTTAAGCATTTGTAAACTGGGAACACTCTACTTATATGTTTTGCAAAACAGGGTGATAGAAAAAAAGGAAATATCAACCAATGGTTTGCGACTGTGCTATGTTAGTGATGTAGAGATCGTACGATATAGTTGGTATAATTAGAGAACGTAAAAAACGTTTAATCAGAGAATGTTTTTTATTTTATTTTTTATTACATTTAATTTAATTTTAATTTTTCCCTCATTATATAAATGTTCTTAAATTTCTATTATTTCTTTTTGCTATACTAATTTGCATTAATACGCGTGCCAAAGAACATCTGCGCATACATACATTTGCCGTTCCCTTATAAGGTGGTGAAAATTTGCTTGGTTCCTTCTTAGAGTGGTGATATTTGTTGAGTTCACTTATCATGAGGGGAAGGCTCCTTTTTGACATGGTGTAATTTAATTTGCGTGTTCTCGATGTTCCCTTTTAATAATTTACATTTTAGCACAGCTAACATTTGCACCTTCTCTATTCATTAACATTCTCTGCTTTAACCAATAATCCTCTTATATAATTTGAAGGATTATTTTAAATTAAAAATATTATGATTTTTTGATAATATGCAAATGTAACGCATAATAAGAACATTCTTTGTGTCTATTCATAGCATTTTCCCCGTTTCGATTATTGTGTGCTGTATTTCAGAAGAGTCCAAGTTATATCTTTCGATATTCTCTTCTGTGAAAAGCTAAAATTAGTACTTCTTAACATTTGCACCTTCTCTATTTATTAACTTTCTCTGATATAACTTCGAAAAGAAAAATTCACCACACAATGTGGGAAACGTTGTTTAAATTTAGCCAAGTCAACAACTTTTGTTTACATTAATGGGGTCAATGACCGCTTTAATTACATTATCAGGTTAATGACCCTTTTGTTTAGATTTTTTCTGAGGTCAATGACCCTTTGTTTACATTTTGTGGTGTCCATGCCCCTGCTTTTACATTTAGCCAAGTCCACAACCTTTGTTTACATGTAGCCAAGTCAACAAGCTTTGTTTACATTTGTGTTCAATGACCCCTTTGTTTATATTTTATGGGGTCAATGACCTCTGCGTTTACATTATTAGGCCAATGACCCTTTTGTTTACATTGGCGACCAGCTTCCCGTAAGGTCACCTCATGACTTTTAAATCACACCACATTCAGGCACGAGAATCACCTAAGCACTGGCCATGCTCGGTGTCTGCTTTACTTACATAGAGCTAGATGGCAGCCATCTTCTCATGTCACCTCATGACTTTTTAATCACGTCACATCTAGGCGCGAGAGTCACCTAAGCACCGGCCAGGCACGCTTTTTGCCGGCTTTTCTTTTATAGAGTCAGCTAGTTACCTAGTGACTTTCAAATTATGTCACATCAAATCCAGTGTGAGTCATCTGAGCCAGAACGAACGTATAATCAGAGAATTTTAATATATTTATGCAGATTTACACAAATATGACAGTAGACGAAAGTATCAATATTTCTTCTCAAAAAGTTACCATACTGATTGCACCGCTGTACTTCAAGCGAACACAGTTTTAAGAATTATATTAAAACAAGCATTTCACAAAATAATTAAAAAATATTTATTTGTATACATTTGTATTAAAAAAGAAGTATTGTTTCTAAGATTAAATGAGATTTTGGTAAAAAGTAAGAAATAAAGAAGTTTAATTTTACAAAATTAGGACTCGAATATACATACATACATACATGATACTTATTACTAACTAAAATATAGGTTATAAACCTTAATTATTTTATTAGATATAGAATGTCAATAGTGTATACAAATATTTCTTATTTTTTTTTAATAAATCTCAAAGCAATTTTGCAAAACGAGCTTACAATTAGAAATTCATATAATTAGATTTTGGTATGCTGGAAATAGTTGTGTTGTATTTTTTTAATATACAGATCCTTCTTAAATATAACTTCAAGCTAATATTGGTTTAACATTTTTCCTTGAATATACTTGTACAGAAGCATTTCGTCAGACTTTGAGTGATATCCAATTTGTGTTACTTTACTTATCAATAAATGTTATATAATATATTATTTATAAATTTATATATTTTTTATAAATTTAAGTTAAAAGCAATTTCTTTTTATTTATAATTTTTTTTTTTTTGCTTTGCCCATAAAGAGTCCATGAGTCGCATTGTGTTAACAAAAATAATGAATATTGTATTGTTGCTTTAGTTACTGATTTGCTTGTCCACTGCGCTCTTTGGAGCATTGGGTTTCATAAATTTCCATTTGAACGAAAATTAGCGTACGTACATATAATTCCTTATTGCACACAGGCACACACACACACACATACACATACATGTAGCACACACACTCACACAAATCCGCTTTTTGGTTTCTCTTTGCTGCTATGTCGCCAATTAATCAACGCTCGCCATTTACAGCTCATTCACTCCGACTTCACCACAGTCTCCCGTTCGTATTTTCGTTCGTATTCATGCAATTCGAATAGGTTTTGTTGGTGCTGCAGATGCAAGGCAATCGATTGTGCATGGGCGTGTTGCTGATGATGATGGTGCAACTCCAGCATCAATTCGTCATCCTCCAATGATGGACTGCGACTGAGCGCCACATCTTGTGTAATCAAATGTGAGTTGTGTGTGTGTTGGTGTTGTTGCTGAATTTTAACGGCCTCTTCGTGGAGCGGAATCAATTCACCGTAATTCGAATGTGCCGGCGACACTGAACCAGCTGGACTTTGTGGCTCAATTTGCTGTTGTTGCTGTTGTTGTTGTTGCAAATATTGTTGGTGATAGTGTAGCGACATATTATCCAAATGTGCCTGCTGTTGGTCATGTTGCAGCTGATGCTGGTGCACCAAATGTTGAAATAGCTGTTGTTGTTGTTGCTGCTGCTGTTGCTGTAGCTGTTGCTGCTCCTGCAGTGGTGACAATTGGTGTTGCAATGGCTGCTGTTGATGATGCGTTGGCGTTGTCGGTGTAGTTGGTGTAGTCGGCGTTGGTGGCATCGATACCGATGTGGAGGGGGACGAATGTGGCGGCATCAGCTGCATAAGTTGCTGTGTCATCAAATGTTGCTGTTGCTGTTGCTGTTGCTGCTGTTGTTGGTGTCGCGGCGAATGTGCTGCATGCTGTTGTTGCAATTGCTGTTGCATATTCTGTAATTGTTGCGTTTGCTGAGTCTGCAGTGGTTTCTGCATGAGATTTATTGTATTGCTGTTATTGTTATTGTTGTTATTATTATTGCTATTGTTATTATTATTGTTGTTGTTATATGTAGTGTTATTGTTATTGAAATGTCCATTATGTGTTGGTGATGTATATGAGAACATTGTCGGTGAGTTTGTATGTGTCATTGGTGACATTTTCTGATTGTATGATTGTCGTAGCTGTTGTTGTTCTTGCATTGTGGCAACATTTTCCATTTGCGTTAGCGGTGATGATGACAACAAAGGCATAAGCGTTGGTTTGGTGTCTGCCGGTGAGCGGCTGCCATCATTTGTTGTTGGTGACGTTCGCGCTGTGTGCGTCAAAACAGTGTTGTTGTTATTGCTATGTGGCTCTTGTTTCACTTGCATTTGTTGGGCCTGTTGCGGCTGTTGCTGCTGTTGCTGCTGTTGTTGTTTTTGCAAGTTATTTGTTAATTGTTTTAGTTCTGATTGTGATTGAGTTAATTAGGTGGAATAGGTGGATGAGTACAGTTCATTTGATGAGTATTACCACCGATGGCAAATGCAACACAGACACATAGATACATTGACAGAGAGAGCGTTACAGAACGATGATCGATGGACGATGTACAAACGATGAGGCGATGAGGCGATGAGGCGCACATGTGAAAGAGAGGAAGAAGCAAAGGAGACAAAACAAAAACAATTAATTACGCATGCTTCAGCCAAATAACCAATACAATACAAGTAAAATATTGAATTTCGCTGCACTTACCGTTATTGGCATCAGCGGTTGGATTGGCATTCGCATTGGTCTTACTGCTTTTGCTGGACTTTTCGCCCTTGGCACCCTTGGCTTTGCGCTTGCGTGTCTGAAATGTGATTTTTAAAGAAATATTAGTATTTTGTGAAAAATTCTCTACGAGGTTCTGCTCTCTCATGGCATAGCTCTCTAATATTTTTGTTTCAAAGAACGCGCTGTAAAATGTTTACATTTAGAAAATTTGCTTTTTATTTTAGTTATAAATTAATTTTACTCAGATTTCTTAAAAACTGAAATTCTATTTTTGTATACTTTGCAGAATATTATGAAAAAAGACAATCGTCGTCTGCATACCTGTATAGTGTCCTTCTTCATGTTCAAGGGACGTTTCACGCTGTGCAATTTGAAGTACAGTCCGCAGGCATTGCATACGGGCTCACCGCTGGGATTGCGACGCCAGAGTGAGGTATGTGTTGTGAGGCAATTCGAGCAGGAGAGCCCAACACGACGGGATGCACTCTAAATATAAAACAAAAGCAATTAGTTATACAATTTGTAGAATCGTAGCATATATTCAAAAAAAAAATTACTTTCATCAATGCATATATTAAACATTTGCAAATTCAAGAAAATTAATTTTTTATTATATTCTAAAAGTTTTGGTTTAAATTTGAAAAAAAAAAACTGTTTTCTTTATTTACTTTAACTTTTGTGTAATTATGTAAGTATGCATGTGAGTATGTTGGTTTGTGTCACCTACCATCCGGCGCGAACTCGAACGACTGTTCGAATGTTCCTCGGCAGACGCTGTTGCCGTCCGACTTGGCACGTTATACGAAAAGCCCTTATAGAAATCCGCGCTTGACTCTGCGGCCACTGCAATAATTATGAATTTATTATGAGAAGACAAAAAATTAGTTTTGCTTTTTTTCATTATTTCAAATATTGTTTTCTTTCTTTCTTTATTATTATTCATAAGCAAACTACATTTACACAATTAAATTGAACGTATGTAGCGAAGCAAGGCGAACCTAAATTGTTAATGCATTTCTATATAAAGCATGCATTACTTCTAATTTGCATTACGCATTTGGCAATTACAATACTTAATACTCAATTATCAAGTTATTGTTGGAATAAAAAATATTGTTTTTAGCTTGCTTTTTCGAAACGGATTTCATCAACAAAGGAAGCGAGAACGTTTACATAACAACGGCAAGGTATGTATGTAAGTATGTATGTACAACGGCAATGCTGGTGTTGGTGAATGGCGTTAAAGGCAAAAGCGGAGGCGGATTTCTATAAGGTTCATTTGAATTTGTTTTCCTTTTTTTTTTTTTTTTGTTTTACGTTTTTATCAAGAAGCTTAAATCACTTCCGTTTAAATAATGTAAGGATATTTTCTAAATTCTGTGTCGCAAAACACTCTGTGTAGGTGTTGTTTAAGTGTTCAATATGTATGTAAGTATATACTTTTTAACAAATTTATTTTTTTTGCTCAATATTTTTGCTTTGTTTAATATGTGTAATGACTGAGTAAAGTGTAGAAAGTATAACTGTGTACACTTGTTACACTTTAAATGCTTTTTTATTTTCATTTAGTTTACCAATCGTCTAGGCTGTTTTATTAAGGGGCGATTCATGCCGTTCGTTTTATTATAAAGACCGCACGCATTGCACAAATAATGTCCGGTATTATCACGGCGCCACAATGGAGTTGAAACCGCACCACAATTGACACATTCTCGCCCGTCGGTGATAAAATCGGCATCGTAAAATGCTTTAATAAATTTATAAGTTAATTTAAAATTTATATAAATTAGTTTAATACATTTAAAACAATTTTGTAATGTTTGCAAGTATGAAGAATGGTAATAGTATAGAAATTTAAACTAACATTGATTTTATGCGTTGTCTAGTAACAAAATATATTTTTTTTCAGTGTACTAAAGGTGTTAACTACTTAATGAAAAGCATCTCAATTTTTAATACTTTTTTATAGGTAGCATAATTATTTATAATTGTATTTCCTTCAATAAATAAATAAATAAATATTTTTTAATGTCTTTAATTTAGGCTAGCAATATAAATATTAAATATTGCTTACTGATACTATATAGGTACTTAGTATGAATGTATGCTCACATCGATGGAAATGTACGAGTAAATATATGAATTCTAAATAAGTGCGCTTTGAAATAAATAAATTTTGAAAAATCAACTAAATTAAAAAAAAAATATTAACTACGTCAATAATATCAATCACAGGTACATTCTTATGGCAAAAAATAAAAGGGTATAAAAATGTATTCATCTTGAATTTGATCGGTCAGTTTGTATGGCAGTTATATGCTATAGTGGTCCGCTAGCGGCGGTACTGACAAATGAACAGCTTCCTGAGGAGAAAAGGACGTGTGTAAAATTTCAGATCGATAGCTTAAAACCTGTGGTTCTGGTTTGGTATATACAGGCAGACAGACATGGCGAAATGAACTCAACACGTCACGCTGCTCATTTATATATACACTTTAGAGGCTATAATATTAAAAAAACCTCAAGGTATTTTATTTATGAACATACACACATATAAATATATATACATACATACATATGTTAATAAGTAAATACGCAAGCATATGCTTTGTTTCTGCCAAATTTGCGGTGAAAATCACAACACTAATGGAATTTGAGGCAGCTTCCCAAATTTATAAGTATATATTGTATGTATGTTTATACATATTTACACGCACACGCGTATTAAGTAGAAGCAAAAAAGGCCGCAATCGCATAACACATTAAACAGTGCATGGAAGCATACACACTTGCGTAAATATTGCAAGTACATAAGAAATAAATGCATATTTACATATGTATAAGTGCCGGAATGTACATAATATGTAAGCAGCTAACAAAATACTTAGCATACTGCGTCCTAACAAAACGACAGAGACCCAATGAGTGTCTAACTAAATCGGTATAATAAATATATTCAAATAAATTACTTGCGTAGATACAAACGCGTATATGAATACATACATTCCCTATAGGAAACTAGCAATATATGCTATAAGGCAAAATATAATTACTAATTTTAAAAGAAAAATAGTTTCTCTAAGTATAAAGTTGAAATTCGCTAAAAAAAAAGTATTAGTGTTGTTTTTTTTGTGGTGCACTATTGCAACATACTACAAATCATTAACTAAACAAAAACAATAAAATTATAGTAATTTAAAGTGTTATACTATATATAGTACATTATATGTACAGTTAGTTTGTTAAAGTCCAATGCAGCTTTCGTTTAACTATTTTAATTTTTTGTTTATTTGCCTCTTTGTCGACTACTCACTTGCTGTCAACGATGCGGATGCAGTCAAATGTGCCGCAGCGGCCGCCAAATTGGCTGATGCGGAGCCCTCCACACCAACACCAACCACCCCAACGCCCTGGCCCGCACGTCCATTGCAGCTGCGTATGACATTCGTATTTCCAACTAGGCCGGCTGCGCTCGTTACGACCGAAGTGGGCGCGTAACCAATTGCCTCGTAATGGCCTGCCCATGTGTCGTTCTAAAGCGAAAAACGCAGAAAAACGAAACAAAAATTAGAATTTGTGAAAATAAAATATTACAGTGAAGAATATACATAATGTAGATAGACTGAGTGCAACGGCGTGAGCTTTACTTGTCACAATACACATTTATTTAGTGCATTATACATGCATATACTTACATACGAGTATGTAAGAGTAAGTAAATGCTTATGTACATATGTATATACATATGCATGTAATAAACTCACACTAAATTTCAAGTAGTAAACTCGCTCCAATATAATTTTGTATGTATGTAGGTTATACTTACTGTGCGATAATTTGTCAACGATGTGTAACGATCGGCGCCGCCACCTCCGACGCTGACATTCGCCACACCACCAACACCAGCTGCACCGCCCGCACCACCAACATAACTGGAGATGCGTTGAAATGCAGGCAAACGTCCACCGCTACCAGCAATAGTCTGGTTGTTGGTTGTCCCACTGCCAGCACCACCAGCACCATTACTACTGGTATTGCTTTTCGGCGAGCCGTAGTCATCGTTGGTGATGGAATTTGAACCGGAACCGTTGCCCGCTGCTATGACTGAGTTTGTTGCATGTGCGCCAGGCGTGGAAGCGGCCGAATGTGTTGGCTGTTGGGAGGGTGAGGCGGTTGAGACGGCGGTGATTGCGCTACTCGGTTGCATGCCATACTGTTGTATGCCATTGGTGGCCGATGTCAACAGCGAACCGGGATAACTACTGCAACGAGTCAATACGTCGTAGCAATTATTCGAATTTTGGCGTGTAAAAGACGGCGATTGATCATCAATAGTGTGTGCAAAATGCACATGCATAGCAAATACGTAGTGGAAGAAACAAAGAAAGCACTTGATTAGTAATGATATCAAAAGGCAGAGAATGTACTTATGGGCATAAGCCAATTACAGTAAAAACACTTATAGCATATATATGTTTACACAATGAACTTTAACTATTTATCATTGCAAAGAATTTAAGTAATAACTATTTTTATATATCGATATATTCTAAAGCATATGACATACATATAGCTGTACGTATGCGCTTGTGCAATATTGCGCCTTTAATTACACCAACTAACTGTATACCAATTATGTCAAATGATTTTAATTGAAAAATATGTATATGATTACGGTGTGTTCAACCCTCATATGACTATACATATGTGTATATGGTAGGTATTTTAATAATATTTACCCATAGCAGTAGCTCTTGAAGTACATATTGTTGTAGTTCGGGAAGAACATTGTTTCGCTTTATTTTCTTATAGTTTGATATTTATAATGGATAAATTAGTTTATTTATAAAATCATTTCCACGCAAGTAATATATATTTCTTTAATACCAATTTTTTTTTTTTTTATTGCAGTAAACTTTTTTATTTAATTACTATTTCTTTAGATTTTAAGTTCTTTTATACAGCTGTAATGTAATAAATATTTAACACATCACATTATTAATGTATTTATTATGTTAACATTAACCAATTTTTATTTTTCGGTAACCAACTATTTTATTAATCAAGATCAGTTTATGTGCATTCCTTTTCAAAACATGCTGCTAATTAAATATTCATATAACCATGCATATGAAGTTTGCAAATGTTCATAAAACTTTTCAACTCTTGACCTAAGTCAAATTTATAAATACATACATACATACATGCAGACTTACATATGCATGGTGCCTATAAAACACAGAACTCAGTGATATTGTTTATATGAGCAGTGTTTTCACAACTCCAGCATCCGAATATGACACTAACTTGCAGATCGGACCACCCACAGACAAATGCAAAACCAAGTAAACACCAACAATATTGCAAAACAATGTCACGAGACCAAGAACGGTGTGTGGAGACTGGAAAAATTTTATTGCACTGTTGCAAAAAAACAAAAAAAAAATTAATTAAATTCTTAAAAGTACGGATTTCCCAAATTTATACGAGCGTCAGTATGCGAAACTCTGGAATGCGATTTAAAAGCGTAAAACTTGCAAATATTTATTTGTTGCTGACTACATAATTTGCAGCAAAAATTATATGCATAGACACAAGTCCAGCACACATACATACATGTATGTATGTATGTAGTAAATTTTTACTTGCAATGCCTGAAATTATTAAACAAACTGCCGTACACTGAAACAAATAACCGACAGTCATTCAAATAAATTTGCCTACGTTTGTTCGCCGATCATTGATCGCCCGCTATGTATGTGTGTATGTATGTATGTACTCGCACATAAATCAGTAGCTCAATGGATATTTGTTGTTTTGTTTATACAAGCATTTATGAGCGTCATCTCGAGTTGAATGAAAAGACTGGTAGTCAAATTCTATATTTTCCGATTCACAAACGGCTCAAAAAACAATAGACATTGCGGCAATGAAAATCAATACTCTGACATACGAGTGAATATGTACGTAGGTGTGTTTCAAAGTGCATTGCTGCACGCTCATGCATCCCGCTAAACATACTACTGCCTCTAAAGTGCATGTTTCCAATGGGCGCTCTGCGCAAAATACAGAAAGTTTCTTTGACGGTTCGTTGGAAGCTACTGAAATGTGCTGGGCAGTTTTGTTTGTTTTTGTCAACGTTGTGCTCTCCTTTTGCCAAATATGCACGTTGAGCTTTTGCATGTACATATACATATATAATCGTATAATCGTATATGTATATGGAATGTGTAATTACTACACTATATTTAATGTTATTTCTGTTAGCTGCCAAAACTTATTAAAGAAAGTGTGGTTGAATTCGGCGTACGACTGTACAAGTATATGTAAAAGTGTGTATTATAATACCAAATTGTAAAAACGTATAAATATGTTAGGAAATATTTTTTTTTAAATTGTTAACTTTCTGCAAAGGTTTTCAATGTATTTTAAATTGTATTCAAAATGTTTTCAATTCAAACCGAATTTAAGAAAAACTCTTTTAACAACTGCGACAGTTGCCGATAATTTTGTTATTTATAATTCTTTAAAGTCATTGTATAACTGTTTTATTTTTTCCGAATGTGCATATTATACATCATGTCGTGGCAATTATATAACTTTGCAAATTTATCAGGCATTTATTTTCACCCAATAAATTTGAATTTTTTATATGATTAATTTTTCGCCAATCTTAATTTGTATACTATAAAGGTATTTGACATTTTTCACTTTTTCCGTTCAACCGTTAAATTAAGTATATCGCAAGAAAATTGACTTCATAAGCACTCAATGTATATCTGTTGTGATTCAAATGAAACACAGTATGAAAATTGCTTGTGCGCCACCAAATTCGTGCAAACACGTTTCACTTCAATGGGAAAATCAGCACTAGTGTCAACTAAACACCGTCGTTTAGTTTCAAGTATTAACAATGACAAGCGTAAATTGACTTAGTAGAGCACTAAAACAACAAATGGTTTACCAAAACAACAACAATGAAACTACAAGCACAATTGAACTAGTCAAAGCGGAACGTCTGATGCGCGGCACGCGTCTTTGCATAATGAAGCTGCAAATGCGGAAAAACAAAAATCTTATACCACACTACCCACAAGCTAAACAAAGCTGTGCAAAAACAATCAACAGCAAAAAACAACAACAATAATAACCACATTACTAACTGGGTAGTGAAAACCGTAACGCATGGCAAATGGCATAAGAACGTCAAAACTTTCGTTGCCAGCGCGAACGCGTCAATATGCAGAACTTCTGCGCCATGCCACACCACAGTTAGATACAATCGACTATCCGAATCTAAGTGGTCGACAAAGTGTCACATCGAGTGCATGCCTGTGCAGCGTCTTCGGCTGATAAGCAGGTGTCGCTGGTTCAACCATTCCGCCCCTTGGCTGGCGCTTTACTTGTGTTCAGTAGCTCGTGTCGCTGGTGTCGCTGCTGTCATTGTCGTGCGGTACGTCAATTGATAGCTGAAACGCTTCATCACTTGAACGTGCGCTGGAAATTATCTCAGCGTTAGCACAGCATGTGAGTGTGTGCTTTTTGCATTTTAAACAATTTGCGTATCTCAAGAAGTGGCGTAGTAGATATGGGTTTGTTGCCATTGCAGCTAGATATATAATATAAACCATATGTGCTTGTTTCTTTATGTACGCGTACGCGCTGCTGTTTACTCAGCGTTATATAGGAAGTTGTGAATATATATATGCACAAGCATTGTTGTTGTGCTTTTTGAGTTCTTTTACATATTAATTATAACATTTCAATATTAAACTGTCTAATAACACGATTGTGCATTGTACAATTAAAAAATGTTGAGTTATATATTGGAAATTTAATTTTTAATTCCGGTTTTCGCATTCAATGAATTAAACTTTTAATTTTAAAGAGAATTAAAAATTTATAAAAGATTTCTTCATTCAAAAATTGTTGTAACACATAAAAACACTTCTTTTCATATGAAAACCTTAAATGAAAAGAGATACAAAGAAATGATTTACATATTTCTAAATGAAAAAAATAATAAATAAGCTAATTAAATGTAAATAAGACAAAAAGCGCTAAACTATGTTGATATTTTATTAAAAATAAACTTGCCTTTTCAAAAGCTAACACCGTTATAATTCAAAATTCAAAAACACAATTTTTTTAATTTATAATTATAAAAATAATAGCAATTACCATTTTTTATCCAACCAATATTTGGTATTAAAACTTTCATTATTTATTACAAATTCAGTTTTTGGATCAAACATTAATTTTTAATTTTTTAATCTTGTATTTGAAATAAGAAATATGAAAATTGTTTTTAAATAAGATTTTCGGATTAACAAAATAAAAAAATATTATAATCTAAATATGAATTCAATTATTTTTCAATGCATTATTTTTAAATCTGTTTAATAATTTATGCTAATATTATTTTTATAAATTTTAATATATGTTTGTATGTTATAAAAGAATCAGAATCACACTAGAGTTTCGCCCTTTAAAAAATTATTTTAGAATATTGGTATAAGTGCCAATTAGTATAAATATATATATATACAATTTCATTAAATTTCACAACCAGGATGGCAGCGAAAGGCTTTTTAGTATCTGGTGTAAAAATTGTACAAGGGCGTGGTACCGCCCACCTTTAGATGAAATCGTATATCTTAGAAACTACTCGCCCGATCAACCAAATTTGGTGTGTGAGGTTACCCAAATATTCCTATTAGACACTGTAAAAATGGGCGAAATCGGATGACAACCATGCCTGATTCCTATATAACAAACTTTTCGATTCCGTCTGATGCTTTCACTTTACAGTATACAAATCAAACATCAATAAAGTTATCAGAATAAAGGTATTTTATCTTATGTCCAAAAATTGTCAAATTCGCACTATAAATTGTGCCATAAATGGTTAAAGTAAGTCAACACTTTCCTTAGCCCTCATATACCTAATTTTTTACGAACCTTTGGTTCACTTTATACCGCATCTATCGGTCAATCTCTTTACTTAAATGTATGAAAGTCACGGCGATACTTTGCTTAGTTTGATATAAAGTTTTGCCAAAATCTGAAGCTGTTCCTCCGCCTTTGTTCCTTGCCCGTTGCAAGAGTATGAAATGTTCGGTTAAAACCGAACCTAGCGCTTCCTTACTTGTTTATTTTACCTCACCCTGCCTTAAAAAAGAAAAACCAAAAAATTGAATTGAAAAGAAACCTGCACACAGTACTTGTTCTGAAATTCGACGACGAAAACTATAAACGATTATTCACTATGCAAAACACGTTTCCAATTAAAATTACTCGTACAAGGAAAATGTAAAAGCCCCAACAAACACTTAAATATTTAGAACAGCTAGCAAAACTGCAGCTGTATGCATGTATGGGAGTGTTATGGGTGCATATAGGAAAATAGTTAAAAGTACAAATACACACTCATATGCACTACAAATTTACGTGTAATAGTAGAAATGTAAAATTAAAATGTACACCGCTCGCTCAAATTTGCGCAAATTGTGTGAACTACTGTTTGGCAGTGACAAATTTTCGTTATAAAGCTGCGGGTGCACATTACACAAAAGCGTAAAAACACACGGTTTCACCCACATTTACAAAGGAACGCCAGCGCATATGCATGCATACGAATAGGAAGGTAATTTTGACATATTGCAAGCCAGTATATATGCATGTGTGTATGTGTATGTCATCTACAGCTGCGATCGTGGAAATTGTAATATGACAGCAAAGGTTTTCGAGGCTTAGTAAGTTGTGTTTTAAGCCTAAGTCCGCGTATACACTCGTACTAGTGAATATATGGTAATTATTAGTGCAAAACTCCTTAGGCAAACTCTATCGGGCATTTGTAAGCATATAAAAATTACTATACGTCTTTAAAAATTGTCCACTTTTTAAACTCACCACCGGTGAGTTTCGGTCACACTTCAACACCGTGGCACGTGTAACACGTGTGCATCTTTCGTATACCAGGAAAGTTTTGTTAATTGGCTGTTTGCCCGCATTGCTCAATAAGCCGTTTAATTGCTTATGTAAATGTAGCAGTTTCAAAAAGGCAGACCACAATAAAAACGGTTTGAGCTGAACTAAATTGTTATGTTGCAGTTGAATATATTTTTTATAAAATTGCAGCATAATACTTAACTGAAAAAACGGACTAACACCGCTTTTACGGAAATCTAGTGCATTATACTTGTAGTTTCATTAGGCTTTCATTGGACACTATAACAGGATTGTTATTTGCGGTTGGCTGCCAAAGTCAGTCTAGTCTACTTGAAAACGCAGATAACAAAAGTGAATCACATGTTTGGTAAGCACTGTTCAAATGTTGATAAAACTTTTGACAGAAATCGCAAAGTTTACACGAAGAAATAGAAAACATTGGCGTTCATTATACTTCAAAATAGTTGTGTTTAGTAGAGTTGAACTAAATTAAACCTTCGTCATGAAATTACTTAATTTTTGTGAAATGTCTCCGTTTTTTAATCTGCTTAATATTGGCAATTTTTAAGAGTCAGAAACTACTAACTACTACTCAGTTTAAAATAATAGTCTAATCATGTAATCGATAATATACACAAAATGACGACAGATAACGGCTGACGATATTCGCTCATAAAGTACTCATGCAACTGATATTCTGTTGACGAGCTGTACTCACGCCACTAGAGATGCGTTATAGGCGTATTAATTCTCTTAACTTTATGGATTAGCTTTTGCATTACCTACTTAGTCGATATATCAGCATATAATATGAGATCCCTAGGCTTATTGTTTGCATTATATGGCCTAAGCTCGAGCCACGGTAAGTTTTTATACGTATACTTTATAAAAGGAGACTCAAAGCAAAACTAAAACATGTTCACTTTACGAATATAAAAATAAATACCACTGACCAACTTGGCCGTCTATCAAAAACGCATAATCAGTTGATATTTTCATTTATAATTTCTGGCTTTTAAGCCCTATATCCTAATTCGTAAGATAAGCCAAAACTTGATTTTTAACACTTATATTAATATTATAACAAAAACTAATCCGACAATTCTGTGTTGGCCCATTGCTTCGCTAAACGGATTTTATGCTTTTTCTTTGCAGCGATCCTGATCAATATTCGTTGTTTCATTTTATTTTCTGTACTGTACTTGCCAATACTTAAAAGCTGCGAATATTTTAGTTGAAAATATAAAGTATTAATAATTTCATAATGATTAAACAAGAAACTCTCTACTATGTTAATAAAATAAAAGAATCCACAATTTTTCAAAAATTATAGTAATTTTAAAATGCATTATTTGTAGCAGAGTTATTTTTGCACGCCAACTTCTGCCCGGAGTCAGCGCTATGCAGTGCATACACTATGTTAGGCCGCCAAAGCACAGAAAGGCGCAGCAAGCAATAACAGCAGCAGGTGGTTATTAAAAGGGTGGGACGTGGCAAGAGCGTGCGGTGGCACAGAAAACACATGAGTTGGCATGTTTGCATAGAAAATGATGCATGTTTTGTGCTGCTCGGCTTTTTTATTTTCCTTTGGTCGTCATACCTTTTCAATACCATGCATACACACTTGCATATGTAAAGTTGTATAGTTGTATGTATATGTAGGCGTACTACTGTGTTTTTACACCTCAGTTTTTCTGCTAACTTACTTATTATTGTTATGACATTATTATATTATTTAATGGTAACACGATACGCACACGACAATAATGAAAAAGTTTATAAGAAGACGGCAAACAAACACATGTAGATATATATATATAAGCAGTTATGTCTGTTGAATGAACAGGAGCATTAAAATTTGTGCTTAGACGGTGTGCGGGAAGACAATGCAAAAAGTCGACCTATTCGCAAGTACTTCGCGATGTGCTTCCCTAAATATTATTACATATGTTATGCATGTATATCGACTTATAATTGTACGAGTATATATTTGTAAAAGTTTTTTGTATGTTTTTAGTTTTTTACATGACAACATAAAAATTACGAATCAATCGGCGATCATAATATAATTACTCATCGTGCTTGATATGAAAAGCAGTTTGTGTGCACACACAGGTGAATGTGAGTCGTAAAGTATTTACATTGGCACTGACTTGTCACTTGTCGTGCAAGCGAAAACAATCAAATTACCGTCTGTTGGGTGAAATAAGCAAAAAAGCACGTGCGTTTTGCGCGCAAATCAAAGTAAAAAATAAATAACCACTCCACTTTTTCGATATTGCATTTATTTACTTGCACTATATAAAAAAAAAAGAAATTTATATATTTTGTATTATTTTTAAGTTTTTTGTATCGTTTATTTTGTATTAGCTTTTCGTATATTCGTGCTCTACTTTTGTGTTTTTGCTGCCACCTACCACCGGTTCATTTCAAAGTGCAAAGATTTAATGATTTCATCAATCACTCATGTAAAGCTAATACCACTTCGCATACAAACAAAGTGTCAGTGGTCTTTCCGGAAATTCCTAATTACCGTAAGCTGCATTTTTAAACCCAAATTAGCGTACGAAAATGTGTTTTGCACTTCATAACTAAATTAAGCAATGGCGCGAGTCAATCAGTGAAAATTGACTTGCTGTAGACTTTTTGTATGTTACTCAAATTTTCTGACTAATTAGTAACAAAGTCATCACATAAATACTCAACAATAAATCTTATAGACAAAATGCTAAGCCAGGCTAAAATTGCTATCAAGAAAAGTAAAAACTATTTGAAATTTGTCGAGTACACAGATTTGCGTAAATTCATTTTATCAATCAGAAATTGAGCTCTTTTACATAAAGGAAATTTTTTTTGTAAACGAGTGTCAAAAGAACGCTCAATTTTGTAAAATTGTTTTGAAAGTATTTAAAAACAGTTGGTGTTTTGACTGATACTCTTAGTGTTGTATTTGAAGACGCTTATTTTTTAACCAATGCTGACTGAATTCGGTAATGAATTCTAGACAACTTTTTATTATTGTGTCCAACAACTATTACTTTGAAGCTGACTTATAAAAGAACGTGACTAATATTACGAATAAATACCAGGCTCTTGCACATAGCATAGAAAGTGTTGACGAAGAAATTTGTGAGATGCAACCCTTAAAAATACTGTTAATAAATTACAAATAAAAAAATATAAATACAACACTAATTTATACTTTTGTTATACGCCGTTTTGCTCTTCACTCTATTCTAATTTGACGGTAATCCTTTAAGATTGTTTAATTTAAAAATATATGCAGGTATGCTATCTACACTGCTCTCATTAAACCAATTAAAAACAAATAAATATATTGACTCACCTTGTTAGAACTGGGCTCAGCGAGGACGGAAAGAGTGATATAACAGTCGGGTCGGTCGCAAAACCACCATACACGTCTCGGTAGGTGGTGGCGTTGGTAAGTTGTGTAAAGCTGGCGACGTCACCCGCTGTGCCGCTATGTGAAAGTGATGTGGGCGATGGTGAACCTCCACCCGAACTCACTGAATTGTTGTGATGTTGATGTGTGTTCACATGCAGCTGATGTAGCTGAGTGGATGTCAGCACCTGTTGCTCCGTTGAACTCAGCATATGCGAATGATGATATGCATCCTTAAGATCGGGCACGGTGGTCAACGTACAGTAGCTGACACCCGTGTGATGATCCTCGAGACACTCATCTTTTAGCGTGTCTTGTATGACCTCATCAATGCTGCTGGGTGCGGCGCCAGTATTTGAGTGATGCTGCAGATGATCATGTGGATTGCCACCATAGGTGTATAGACTGAAATTGTTACGCATATTGTCGTCAATGAATTGTGGGTGATGTGCGTGAGCGTGAGCGTGCGCGTGCGCGTGCGTATGCAAATGTGACGCTGGTGAGTGTACGTATGGCGACGCCGTTGATAGATGTTGAGCAAATAGTAAATGTGAGGGATGTAAAGCAATTAAGTCGGGTTTATCTAGCAGCTCTTTTGAGATCTGTTGCTGTTGATGTGCTTGTTGCTGCTGCTGCTGCTGCTGTTGATCAAGTTGCAATAAGTGATGCTGATGATGTCGCGACAGATCGTACGCACAACTATTGTAAGAGGTGAAAAAATGTTGGTGATGTTGTTGTTGCTGCTGTTGTTGCAATTCAGTGGCGACAGCCAAATTTAAATTGGGATCAGCACCGTTGAGTATATTTGATGTGAGCTGCAACAAGTGCTGTTGTTGTTGGTGATGTTGTTGCACCTCACCGATACTATCCTGCGACAATTGCTGAGTGTAGCGTAAATACTGCGGCTCAGACAATTGTTGCTCACCTGATATTAGTTGCACTGTTGTTGTTGTTGGTGCTGTTGCTTGTTGCTCCGCTTGTGCGTAGTGCGACGTGTTAATGGCGTTATTGCTGTTGTTGTTGTTGCTGTTGCTATTAAAATTAGCTATAATAACCGAATCGTTTGCGCCGCGATAGTTTAGCGGCAAGAATTCGTCTTTTTGCGATTCTACAGGTATTTGTTCTTGTTGTTTATCACTAATTTTGGCATTTTTGATTTCACCAGAATTTGTATGGTTAACACTAACACTTATTTTACTATTATTGTGGTTATTACTGTTAATAACCGATATTTGTGCGGCATTTGTGGTTACAACCGGCGGCACGGCAGCGGTCGGTATTAGTGTTTGCTTTGTTAACGTCGTAGACGTTGTTATCGCATTTCGAAACTTATCAACGTTTTTGGCATTTTTATCACGCGACGCTAACTGTTGTTGTATTTGCTGGTGATCCGTGTTGACGGCACTATCTCTAACAACAACGTCACTACTTGGTTGCTGCTGCTGCTGATTCGCCGTTTCGTTGACTTGGCTCTTCTCTAATTTCACTTCAAAATAAGCATTCGTTGCAAGTGTTGTGGGAGTTTTTGCTTCTATAGCTTTTGCCGTTTGCTCTATAGCGTTCACTGGCGTTTTTACTGTTGTTGATGTTGTTCGGGCTTCACCGATCGTACGTAACACCGTTTGCTTTGATGTTTCGTTGACAACTGATATGAGTTTTGGTGTTACGGACCTTATTGGCGACGCAGACACAGTCGTTGCTGCCGTAGAAGACGACGATGACGACGCCAGTGTAGCAGCAGGCAGTGCAAGCAACGAAGCCAAATGCGAAGACGAAGGCGAAGGCATAGCGGTCGAAGAAGACGATGACAATGACGCAGGAGGTTTCTGTTGTTGTTCGTCTTGTAAATGTGTTGGTTTTGTGTGCGCTTGTGGTGGCGGTGGCGGTGGCGTTGCCGTTCGTTTATGTGTGTATGAGTTTACAAATGTACAAGGCGAGGGCATTGCATTTGTTGGTGTTGTTTCATGTGCGTTCGTGTTTCTCGCCTGCGTACAATTCTCTTCTGTGTTCTGTTTTGCCTCTTGTGGTTGCTGCTGTGGCGACTGCATTGAATGTTCGGCTGCGCTATCTTTGGGCGCAGCAAATTTCATTGTTGTAGTTTCGATCCTTGCATGCTGGTTCATCATTGGTTGTGTTGAATGACTTTGCCATTCCTTTAATATACTACCTCCGTTCCCTGTCGCTCTTGTGTCGTTGTCGGGCATAACATTGAACTGATCACGCCGTTCATCTGTTGTTTCTGTTGCTTTTGCCACATAATCTGGCATATCTGCCACCAATAGCTGATCCTGCTGCCCGAAATATTGTGATTGTTGTTTTATCTGTTGGCACTCCATTTTTCTTGTGTTCGAATCACCACAATCACCACTAGTGCTTTGTGTTGTTGGAAAAAGTCTATTTAATGTTTCTAATCCTTTCGATTGTTGTGAAATTTCAAAACTCGTTAGCTGGGCCATTCTGTTATTCTCATTCAATGATCGACACATTTTGTTATTAAAAGTATTTACCATTGTACTCGACATGGTGGCCGTGGCTAAGCTTTTATTTCCATTAGTGGAGTTCGACAATTTGGCGGCATTACACTTTGTAATCTTCATTTTCACTGCGTTCGCTAACAGACTAGGCATACGTCGTTCCTTGCCAGTGTCCTTATTTGTCTCCTTGTGAACGTTTGCGTATGTTGAGGGACGCATGCCGCTACTACCGCTAGCGTTATGGACTGCAGTTATTACTGTCGAGCTTTTGCTGTTGTTACGCGAAGAGAATTTCATTATTTTTCACTGCAAATTGTCATTTGAACACGTGTTTGTTTAAGGCAATTGTCGTAAATTTTTTCGTAACCAAAACTATTTTTCTAATTAAGGCGTAAAACCGTCCTTTAATTAACAAACATTTTATCAATTATGTATATGCATTTGTCTGTATGTGCTCTGAAACCGTTCATTTGATTTTCTATTAGAACACTTCGCTAATCACTTCCCGTCAATTCACGCGCCACCTCGGCTGATATGTACGAGTTTTTTATTTAAACTGTTGCTAATGAAAATCTGTCGCACATTCAAACGAAAAATCTTTAATGAATGTTTTTTCACCAAATAAATAAATAAAATATGAATATAAAAACGAAAGCAAAGAGCGTTAAAAATCTCAAAAACAAAAATACAAAATGTACACAGCGCATACAGCCTCCCTCAGAATACACCACACCATCGCACAATAAGGCGACTGTATACACATAAAGCGGCAACTCAAAATGAAAAGTCTCTCCAACATGCTTAGGAGTCCGCTTTAGTATGTGAATAAAAAAACAGCGTCCAGAAAACACAGATCATTATGTGAAAACATTTACTGTATACAGTCATAACTGCACCGCTATTTACACTCAGCTTCAGTAAATCACTAGAGTAAAGCTAATATCACTGCTTAGTCATATACTCACACAAACTTATTTAATCAGCAATGCGCTCTTTCTCTCTCTCTCTCTCTCTCTCTCGACCACTATGCTCAACGCCTCACTACCCTTGCTAATTATATTCAAGTAAAATACTGCTTGTTGTTGTTAAGGCGGCACTTGCAAATCCACCTCAGCCATTTCTACAACCCCTATATTGTTTGTGTGAAACTCACCACCACTCAGATTTATTGATGGCTACTGTTTCCGTTATTCGCATTCACTGCGCTATCTCGCTCCGGCAAATGGCAATGGCTGCAGAGAATATTTAAACTACGCCCCCTTCATTGTGGATACAAGCATGCATATGCGAATAGTATTTTATTAACACCATTTCATAAAATGAAAGACAAAAAATTATAAAAATTTACTGTCAATTAATTTACGTATACATATGTGCATAACTATTTTCCGTTTATTTTATAGTAATATTGTATAAATATAATTTTGTAGGATATTAATTTTTTGCTTTTGTCATAATTTCATCAAACTATATTCATAAGTTTTCATCCAATATTACACTTTCTTGGTAGAGAAAAATGGTATATTGTGTTAAAAGATTCTAAAATCCGATTCAAACAAGCAGTTTTGTAGGTCCTAATAAAACTAGTATCATATCGCAGTGGCCACGAGGCCATAAACGATATTGCAACTTAATTGAGTTTTTTGTGAGAAAATACACATATGAGTAAACTACGCCAGTTAAATTTAAAAAAGTACATGAATGCTAGTATTTAAAAATTATAACATAATTTTGTGCACAAATATATTAAAACGAATTCAATAATATTTGTATAGTGCTATATTTTAAGCGCCAGTATAATTTCTTAGATAACTATGTTTGACTAATAACAATTTAAAAAAAAAATCAATTTGCCAATTTATAATTATTTTTTCACTATGTGTTTGTGTATTAATTGATTAATTAGAAATCTTACACATTAAAATAAAGGTCACATTCTTTTAATGGATTCTAAGCACATATTTGTTTCGTTTCTATCACGTCTCGGAAGCAAGGTATTATCACAACTTACTTTCAAGCAGCTTATTCAATGATTTTAATGTTATTTAGTAATTTTGATGTAGTGTTCAGTTAAATGCATTTGTTTTAAAAATGTCAAAAATGTTTTGTAAAACGGCATCACTCAAGTATGTACATACATATTATATGTATATGCATATATTGGCTATTAAAAGTTTCGGTTACTGGTACAATATCAAGCCATGTTAGCTGTCTATTGTTGGTTTATTATGAGCTGGTTTACAAATAATGCAAAGAAAAATTAATTGACACATATTTAAATTATTTTTTTTTATTTTGTTATTCTGAAAATCTTAATTAAAAATAAATTTCTAATTTCTTATCGCAAATACCAAAATGAAAACATAAAAAAGAACTTAGTAGCAGATACCGGTTAAAAAATATATAAGTTTTATCAAAAATACCTGTTTGAAAAATCAAAAAACTTTAATATCAAGCTTATGTTATAATTAAATATTAAAAACAAAAAATTGTTTTTGAATTTAAATTTTTTCGCGCTTATGTACTTTGTGTTCTACAATTTTAAAGCAAATTTTTATTTGAAAAAATCGTAATTCTCTTACCAAAAATACACAAAAATACAAAAAAAAATCAAACAGTTTTTTTTTTTAATATTTTAAAAAAACTTTAAACTTTTCGCATAAAGTACAAACAGACTTCATAAACTAACATAGTGTTATTAGATGCGCTAAGTAATATGCACATTGAGTTTTTTAGTTTTCGCCTAATTTTTTACTTATTAATTTAGTTAAGCTCTGTTACTAATTGTATGTAATTATGTAAAATATTGTGGCGTATTTTCTCGTCTTCCATCACCATTTCTGCACTTCCATACAAACATGGAAATACATATGATTATACATATACATATACATATATGAATGTAATACCTCAACTCGTATGTCTGCCATTTGTTATTTGTTCCTTACAATATGTCGTGAACGACAAACAAACAACAAGCGAATACTATAAAAGGATAGAAATGAAAAATATTTTGGCAACACTTCAAAAGCCGCAAAGTAGATATGCGTATAGCTATGTAAACGAATATGAGTGTACATACGTGTATTGTTAAGTTACGTGAATGAAGTATCGTTCTACCTTTCTTTGTACTTAAAGCGGCTAATCAAAAACGGCCGTACATATGCATTTTCATGAAACATCCTGCACGGCACGTGTTGAAGGGATCATCACTAGTTGTTTTCGACTCGTGTTCGCATTGTTTACGAATGATTTCTTAAGTGTTTTTGGTCGCATTGTGTTCTGTCTCCACCATCAAGGACGTCGTAATAATATAAGAAAATATTTGCTATTTACCATAATGCATACGTTTGTTTACTAGTCAAATTTTGGAAAAACAAATCACAGTTGTCGAATGTTGTTGTAGTAAATAGTAAAATATTACGTAAATTTAGTGTGTTTTTTTTAAGTCACATGGTAACGAAGTTAATTAATATGCAAATAAATATTTTATGGCATAAAAGATTAATATTTTTATTGCAAATACTGTTGTGGTTTTCAGCTTATAAGCACATATGTATATATATATATATGTGCATATATCGATTTTCTGCCTGAAAATCTGAAACATTTTCCCAAACATTTAGCACAGGCAGGCCAAGACTCAACGGGGTCCAGAACTCAACTGCGAGTTTTTCATGTAAGATTTCCTTTACGTTTAGCATCAGAAACATTTCAGTCTGCCGCAATTTTATGAAAAATTTCAATTGCACTGCTGAAAAACAAATAATATTAAAAAAAAAAAAACTAAAAAACCATGCTTTTATAGCTAAGCGTACTAAAAAGTAGAAAACAAGTTTTAATTACAAAGATTTCCTATTATAGTAGTAGCAGTTTAAACAATCCATCATAATTCATTACTTTAAAATAAAATTTTAATAAAATCAAAATTATTAAGAAAATAATTAAATTCAGTGTAAGAAATATGGGGTGCCTTTTACTATATTTTCATAACTTTTTACTAGATTTTTATAAAGCTCCTCTCATAATAGTTACAGATAGAATGATTGTCACATTAAATATATCAAGAACCCAACCCACTGAATTGAATTATTCTCTTAATAACTTTTATTTTGTTTTAAAGTAATTAATTACTTATCAATATATTATGATTGATTGTTTGAAACTGTTATAAAATTATTGCATTGTCATCGGTCCTTGACACGTGTGCAAAGTTTCATGTTGATCAGACTTCTGGAAAGCGGTGAAAATTGAACTCTTAGACTCCATTACACACATACATACATACAATCCAAGCTAATAAAAACGTGTTAAAAAAGAAGAAAATCATTGTAGACTTGGCTGTGCGCCTTATTGTCTTAAAATTTTTTTAAATAAAAGTTCAAGAGCGTTCTCAAAAAAATTTTCAGTTAATTATTTTGAACCATGAACTTTGTTTACTAACGAGGAGTATTCACTCATTAAATTAATAATTTCTCAAAAAAAAAACTCTGATGTTTATAACTGTATTTTTGGTACACGTTATTCAATTTATAACATAAATTAAAAATCATCCATTTATGAATATATACAAACATTTTTTAACATAGACATTGTCTGTTTGCGCACATATAAATTAAATTTAAAAAAATATTTCAAATTAAATAAATTATATATAATATACATATATGTATGTATATTAATATACATATATATATATATACATATATGTGTAAAAATCAATTGAAAATCAAATGATCTGACACTCTCTAATCGACGATTTCACAAATCTAGCGCTAGCGTTGTTGCGGGCATGCATTGAGTTTAGCACAGCGAAAGCTAGAATAGCTTATCAATACATTTTTAAACTAAATTTGTAGAAAACTGACAAAGGTCAGGCAATCCAAAAACTGAAATCACACACACGTGCGATTGAGAATAAAAAGTGTGGTATATATGAGTATAACTTAAAATTCGACAGAGAACTTTAGCAGTTTGTAAGCAAAATAGTATATGAGATATACAGTCTTAGCACTTATTTCGAGCCACGCCTCTTGGTTAAACTGCGCTTTAACAATCGAATATATTTATGTTCGAGGGCGGAAATTTCATTTCATGTGTCCTTAAAATAAATTTACACATAGACACCGGGAGCATTAAAATACTATAAAAAATCATGTCAATATAATGAAATATTGTATTTCGTTTAATGTCACCAACTGTAGATATATTAACATACTAGTGTACAAATGTATATAGTATATGTATATATATATGTATATTATATATTTTATAATTTTCAATTTTACGACCTTTCAGCATGTTTATATGAAAATATGGTTTTACGTAACTTGACCACTTGAGATATTTTCATGGCTTCGTGACGCCACCAATGGGCCTTTCAGACCGAGAGTAAAAACTTTTTACGACTTTTCACTAAGAAACTACTACGATCAAGTACACCTCTTTGCGATTGACTAGCAAGTGCATCCACATGATTCTAATACAGCAATACGAGTGTAAGAGTAGAAGTGCAGAGAGATAATACACACATAGTCGTATTAAATACCTAGTGACTATACAAATTTCTTTCTCACACATTTTAAGGGTTTTTGGTGACTTTTCGTCGAGCGCCTTGACTTCGCTAGCCGTGCTCGAGTTAAAACTCTCGTTACGCTTGAATATCCTTGACGTAGCAGTCGCGCTACTTGCCCAACATTGGCGACTTGGAAACTCTGTAATTCAATGCCTCATAATATTTTATGCGTTTTTGATGAGCGTAAGAATTTTACGAAATGAAAATTCGAGTACGTATGCAACGTATGAACGTAAGTAGAACGTGTGTATAAGCTATTGTACTTGAAAACGTATGCAGATATTTGTGTTTTTCAATTTTCATACTTAATTTTGTGCTACTTGCTGCTTAAATTGAAAATTTCCACCGATTTCATTAGTTTTATAGAGGCGTGTAATTTAGCATAATGGCCGCAGCAAATTTTAAACTAATTGCATTAGTCAATTAGTTGTTTTGTTTCACACAAGCATACACAATTTATATGTATTCAAATTTGAGTGAAACTGAACGAAAAAATGTCGATTTAGAATGTCACAAAAAATCAAGTATTTTAATTTTTGGCATAAAAATATCCAAAAAAATTTAAAACATGAATTAATATACTTGTTTAATAAAAATATAAAGTAAAGAAATGAAAAATATATATGTGCATTCCCCAAATCGGAACTAAAAACTGTTTTGCTTATTACAATAGAGTTTCTATAACAAGATATATCAGTAAAAATAATTATACCTTGAACAGGGTATATTGCCACAAAGTTTGTAATACCCAAATGAGACTTTGGAGACCCTATTATATACGCGAACTAATCTCTCAGATTTTGAGATATTGGTCTAAACATTTGTACATGCCCTTTCCTCAGCAAGAAGCTCTTCACCACTATAGCATATAGCTGCCATACAAACTGTACAAGTAGGATCGGAATCAAGTGCTTGTATTAAAAGATTTTTTTTTTATTTGAGGAGATATCTTCACGAAATTTAACAGAGATTATTATCCAAGGCATTGACACAATCTCTGAAGAAATTATTGAGATCGGACTCAAGGCCTTATATGAAAACTCTTTTATTTGTCAAAGTATTTTCACGAAATTTCACACAGATTATTATCCAAGGTATTGCTACGATTTCCAAGCATATTGTTTATATCGGACCACTATAGCTTATAGCTGTCATCCAAATTGACCGATCAACATCGGAATAAATATCTTTTTATACCATTTTATGCCATAAAAAATGCACCTGTGAGGGGTATTATAGCTTCGGTGAAGCCGAAGTTAACGTTTTACTTGCTGTATATGAATATTCTTCTACTCAAAAAACGTTATATAAACTAAAAAATGCATATAAATAGTATCGGACAATAACAATTCTTGCAGTGATTTAATAAGTTGAAGAGATACGTAAAATTATGTAAAACATTATTTTTATTTGGTTTAAGAAATTCATTTATATGCATATATATATAAAATACAATATAATTTAATATTTTACTCAACATATACGAAAGATACAAATACATTAGGGCGGGTCAAAAAAAGAACGAAAGTTCGTTTTAGCTTCGTTCTCTGAAAAATTGGTTGATAGACAACTCTGGGAAAGGTTCTCCAAGTGAGTATGATCTCTTAATTCTAAAGGGAAGATGCTCTGCTTAACGATATTTTATCTTTTTTTTATATAATTGAGCTAGCCTAGTTTTAATTAGATTTTAAATTTGTTTACTTATTATTAGGATTGGAATAAACAGATTCAACAAATATAGATATATTAACAAAAAACAAACAACTGAAGAAACATCATTTTAAATTGCA